TCCCTCCCTTTCTTTCTCATGCTCTCCCCATCTACCCGCCCCTCTCTGTCTTTTTACCTACCTATCCATTTGTCCAGCCACCCACCCTTCAATCCATCTATCAGTCTACGAACCAAGGTATGAACCTATCCATCCATCCACTTACCCACCTTACTCTCTCTCACATCCTTTCTCCCTTTCTTCCTCTCTCTCCCCCTTCCATCATTCCAACTACCAACTCATCATCCACCTACAACTCATCTTTTTTTCTTTCTTCCTCACTACCTCCCTTTCTTGCTATAAACCCTTCCATCCATCCACGTTTCTACCAACCCATAATAATTACCTTTGCATCCACCAGCCCATCTTTATTCCTACTTTCTCTCTCCCTCTCTCTCTCCCTCCATCCCGATCCACCCACCCATCCATCTTTTTACCTACCTATCCAATCGTCCAGCCCCCACACTTCGATCCATCTATCTACAAACCCAGGTACCGACCTATCAATCCATCAACTCACTTAACTTTTTGTCTCCCTATCTTTCTCTCACTGTGCCCCTTCCTCCCTTCCTTTCTACCTATACACCCTTCAATCATCCATCTACCAACTCATCTACCTACCTATCCAGCCACCACCCATCTTTGTTTTTCTTTCTATCCTGCATATTCCTTCCTCCCTCCTTCATTCTATCTCTCCCCATCCAATCAACCCATCATCTATCTTTCTACCTACCTATCCATTTGTCCAGCCGTGCACCCTTCGATCCATCTATCAATCTACGAACCCTGGTATGTGCCTATCCATCCACCACTTATCCACCTTTCTCTATCTTCCGTTCTTTCTCTCTCTCCATTCCTCCCTACGTATAAACATCTGCATACATCAATCTACCAATGCATCTACCTACTTATCCACCACACACCTTTCTTTCCCTCTCTCTTTCTCCTCCGCTCTCCCCATTCAATGACCCACCTTTCATTCTTTCTTCCTTTCTATCTCCCTCCTTTCCTTCCAATGAACCTACCCACCTATCTATATTTTTTCCTACCTATCCATTCATCCAGCCACCCACCCTTCAATCCATCTGTCAATTTATGAACCCAGGACCATATCTATGCATCCATCCACTTACCCACCTTTCTATCTCTCGCTTCCTGCCTTCATTCCTGCCTGTAAACCCTTCCATCCAGACATCTGTCTAACAAATCATCTACCTAGTTATCCACCCACCACCCATCTTCCTTTCTTCCTCCTTATCTCTCTCTCCCCTAATCCACCAGTCTATGTACTTTAAACCTACCTGTCCATTCACCAAGCAGCCACCCTTCAATCCATCTACCAAACTACAAACCCAGGAACATATTTAACTATCCATATATCCAATATCCAACGTACTCTCTCCCTTCCTCCCTGCCTGTAACCCTTCCATCCACCATCTATCTACCAATTCATCTACCTACCTATCCACCCACCACCCATCTTTCATTAATTCTTCCTTCCTTCCAACCTTCCTCCGATCCATCCAACTATCCACCATTCTCTCTCTCCCTTCCTCCCTGCCTGTAACCCTACCGTCCATCCATCTACCAACCCATGTACCTACCTTTCCATCCACCAACCCATCTTTCTTTCTTCCGTCCTTTCTCTCTCCCTCCCTTCCCCATCCATCCATCTCTTTTTACCTACCTATCAGTTCATCCTCTCACCAGACTTTCTTTCTCGCTCTCTCTTCCCTTTCCTCCCTTCCTTTCTACCTGTGAACCTTTACATCCATGCATCTACCACCCCATATAACACCCTATCCAATCACCAGCAATCTTTCGTTCTTTGTCTCCCTCCCCCATCCACCAAACCACTTTTCTGTCTTTTTTCTTTCTTCTCTCGTTCTTTCCCTCTCTTCACCATTCACCTACCCATCTTTCTCTCCTTCCTTCCATCCTCCTCTGTATCTCCATCCACCCACACATCTTCCTTCCTTGCAATCCTTCCATCCATCAACCCATGTACCTACCTACCCACCCACCCACCACCCGTCTTTCTTTCTCTTTCTTGCATCCTTCCTTCCTCGCTCGATGCCTCCCTACTTCTCTCTCTCCCGATCCACCGACCTAACCATTCGTCCAGCCACGCACCCTTCGATCCATCTATCGGTCTATGAACCCTGGTATGTACCTATCCATCCATCCACTTATCCACCTTTGTCTATCTCCCTCCTTCCCTCTCTCACTTCCTCCCTATCAACCCTTCCTTCCATCCATCTACCAACCCATGTACCTACACTTGCACCCACCTTCCTTCCTTTCTCCCTCCCCGTCCACCTACCCATACACCCATCTGTCTTTTTACTGACCTATCCAATCGTCCAGCTACCCACCCTTCCATCCATCTATCAGTTTGCCAACTCAGGTACATATCTGTGCATTCATCCACTTACCCACCTTACTGTCGCTCTGTTCCTCCCTTCCATCCTGCCTGTAGACCCTTCCATCCAGCCAACAACTAATCTACCTACCTAACCACCCATCTTTCTTCCTTCCTTCCTTTGTCCTGTCTCTCCCCGCATCCACCCGTGCATTTATCTTTTTCTTTCTTTTCCTGTCTTGTCTTTCGTTTTGTCTTTGTTTCTTCCTTCCTCCTCTCTCTCCCAATCCACCAATCTATCTACCTTTAACCTACCTGTCCATTCGTCCATCTAGCAATCTACAAACCCAGGTACGTACCGATCCATACATCCAATTATCCACCTTACTCTCTCCCTTCCTTTCTCCCTTTCTTTTTCTCTCTCTCCCTTCCTGCTTACAAACCCTTCCATCCATCCAGCTAACAACTCAACTACCTACCTATCCACCTACCACCCGTCTTTCTTTCTTCCTTCCTTTCTTCCTCCCTCCCCTCATCCACCCACAAATCTATGTTTCTTTCTTTCTTATTTTCTCTTTTCTTTTTCTCTCTGCATCTCTGCCTCCCTCCCCATCCACCCACGCACCTTTCTTTCTCGCATCTTTCCTTTCTCCTTCCCTCCCTATCCACCCACCCATCCTTCGATCCACCTATCAGTCTACGAGCCAAGGTATGAACCTATCCATCCACCCATCCACTTACCCGCCCTTCTCTATCTCCCTTCCTTTCTCTCTCTCCATTCCTCCCTACCTATAAACCTTTGCATACATCCATCTACCAACGCAACTACCTACTTATCCAACCACCACACATCTTTTTCTTTTTCTCTCTCTCTCCCACCCTACCCATTCACGTACCCAACTTTTTTTTCTTCCTACCTCTCTTTCTTCCTTTCTCTCTCCATCCCTCCCTCCCCATCCACATGTCTTTCTAGTGACCTGTCCATCTGTCCAGCCACACATCCTTCGATCCATCTGTCAATCTACAAACCAAGGTACATACCTATGCATCCATCCACTTATCCACCTTACTCTCTCCCTTCCTCCCTGCCTGTAAACCCTTCCATCCATCCATCCATCTAACAATTCGACTACCTACCTCTCCAGCCACCACCCATCTTCCTTCCTCCTCCTCTCTTTCCCAATCTAACAATCTACCTTTTTACCTACCTGTCCATTCGTCCAGCACCCACCCTTTACCAATCTACGAACCCAGGTATGTACTTATCCGGCTTTCTCTCTCCCTTCCTCCCAGCCTATAAACCCTTCCATCCATCCGTCTACCAACCAACTCATCTATCTACGTATGCAGCCACCACCTACCTACCTACCTTTCCTACCTTTCCTTCCTTCCTTCCTTCCTCCCTCCCTCCCTCTTTCTCTCTTCCTTCCTTCCTGTCTTTTTCTTTCCTTCTTTCCTTCTTGCATTCTTCCTTCCTCCCTCCCTCCTCCTTCTCTCTCTCCCCATCCACCCGCCCATCATCTATCTGTCTTTCTACCTACCAATCCATTCGTCCAGCCACGCACCCTTCGATCCATCTATCAATCTATGGACCCTGGTATGTACCTATCTATCCATCCACTTACTCACCTTTCTGTCTCCCCCTCCTCCCTACCTGTCAACCCTACCATCCATCCATCTGCCAACCCATGTACTTACCTTTGCATCCACCAACCCTTCTTTCTTT